AGAAAGAGATGAATAGACGCTCTTGTGATTCGATTAGCTGCCCAAGAGGCACCTGGACCAACGGTGTTCTCGGTAGACGAACCTACGAATTATGCGGCAACACAATCAAGCAGCGCAGGTTTTCTCGGTGACAGAAACGTGGGAGTGATCCCTCTCCTACGGGAGAGGAACCTGAGGCCGCGCCCACTTGTTTGTCGAGGGTAACAGTCTTACCTGAAGCTTTACCCGATCTGGCTTAAACTGCAGGACCGGGACCCCTGGTCGCGCTCTCTATTGATTTATTCGGTTCATCTCCAGCTATTATCGCGAACTAACCAGAGAGATCAACAGAGAGGAATGTTTGTTCCTCTTAAAGAGGATTTTCTGGCGAAACCTCGCCAAATGACTCGTCCGTTTAACTGTAAAGAGAATTTCTCTCTTCCACGGGCCTCGAATATCCTCTGCGCAGCCTTCAGAATTACAAGCGTTTGGGAAACCTTGAAGGAAAAACGAATTTTTATATTGTTGCGCGCTGTGCGCTCTGTGACACGATGAAACATTTATGCGACAATTCCGTGTAGGAAAGAGATATGTTCCAAAAATTATACTGAATAAAGAAATTCCGAAACATTTAATTTAATAAATAGTTAAGCGATCGTTGCGATCACGTATATTACTATACACTTTATGGGGTTAGTATTAATACCCAATTGAACAAATTCACGTTCTTGTTACAACGTTTTGATAGAGCATTTACGTTTCCTACATTTTATACATTTCTACATTTATACAAACGTGTGTTTATGGACGTTTATATATTTGTACAAACGTATTTATATATTTGTACATTTATTCAAACGTATTCCGACATTTATATACAAACATTTATTTACACATTTCTATATTTACGCACGTTTACACATTGTTAAAACACCGTTTCTCGGCCATTTCAGTTTCGCACAATCTGGATTCCGATATCGAATCTAACGAAAAAAAACTTTCGTAACCCTGTTGTCGCAGATTTAGAGGAACGTTTCCGCGGCTTTTCCGCGAGCGCGAAAATCGAGCGAGTGTTGTATCTGACTGTGTCGATTTACGTTGTAAACGAAACGCGTGTGTCATTACATAATCAAACGCGTTGTTCCGTTGGCCATGAGAAATTTTCGTACACCCACGCACGAACAGCCTCGGCTTAACACCACGTGTTGGAACAATGGCATAACGCCTCTACCGTGATTATTGTAATGACAGCATCTCTCGTCGAGCAGCCAGCAACAACCTCTTCGATGATATGATTTGTGGGCCCGTTGCGCGACGCGAATACCCGATGCGACAGCTTTTCAATGTCCGCGTACTTTTTATCAATCATCGCGAAACTTCTATCGTTGAACGCCCAGTGATATCGAAACGCGCGAGACGGTGAGAACTAAGACGGGGGAAAACAGTTCGAATCCAAGAACGCGTGAGAATCGT